CGGAGCCTTGATAGAGCGTTGCTTAAGCCAGCTAAGTACGCTCTATAGAGCAGAGGTGGGTCGGAACAGTCAGAGGTGTCGGAAATCGGAACTGTCGGAAATCGGAAATGGCTCAAACGTCGGAACTCGGATATCGGAAATTAAAATTTTTTTCGGAAATCGGAAGGAAAAAACATTGGAAATCGGAATTCCGACCCACCTCTGCTATAGAGCAAGCATATTTCTCCATCCGTGTCGGAGATTCTTACCTATGAATATTTAATTAAAAGTGTAGTGCCGTGACGTCTTGAGAATATTGTCAAAAATATTTTACATTTTTCAGATATATTACTTAACTTAATAAGAAAAATGAATTTAAACAAATATATTTATATAAATCCACTCATTGTTTTAATCTATTTTAATCTGTTTACACGTGTCCTTGGCTGTCTGCCTCCAGCTGGACAGTGTTGCTCAACTCCAACTTGCACTAATGCTCCACCATGTTCTTCTACTGGCCATTCTGGAAGGTATTTTATCCCCAAACTAGTCAAGCAGCTCAGTTAACTTCTTGGTCTTCCAAAAAATCCTAAAATTTTTGTCTCATTACAAGATAAAATATTCCTTATGGATAAAAATAATTTGTTTCAGCTACTCAGCCCCATATTCTAAAGATCATGGATCTCATGGAGGAAAGTATGGTGGTGGTGATTATGGCTATAGTATGGATAGTCATGAAGGGGGATATGATAAAGGATATAAGAAGAGCAAATATGGGGGCGGTGGGAAAGGATATGATTCTTATGGAGGAGACAGTTATGGAAAGGATAATTATGGAGATAGGTTTCTCTTAAAAACATAAAAAATTAAAAAAGAATATTTTTAGTTATAAAATGCCTTTACCTCCTCCACCTCCACCTTCATACTCTTCATATGGCGGAACTGCTCCATATGCTCCTCCACCTCCCAGCTACTCATATCAACCTCCAGCACCTTCATATTCACCTCCTCCAGTGTATCAACCACCTCCTCCAGCATATCCGGCGCTTCCAGCTGCCTACCCAGCACCTCTTCCACCCCCCACATATCTTCCAGCAGCTCCTCCACCACTGCCTTCACCTCCACAGATCTATCAATCTCCAACAGCCCCTCCAGCATATCCACTCCCTCCAATGCCTTCTACCATAGTTTATGCAACCCAGCCCCTTTCTTCTCCCTCAACAACTTCGAATATAATTTCCCAACTGGCAAGTGAATACCCACAGATTATTGGAAATAAAATTATTGGGACAACAACGCCTTCTCTCCAAGGGATTTACCAACCATTAACTGGGCAGTTTAAAGGGGGACTTGTTTCTGGTGGTGGATTGTCAGATTCTATTGGAAGGTTCGGACATTATTCTTAAATAGCCAATTGAGTTCCCAATTGACCCTTACTTCTCCCTTTCCGATTAATGACCTCATCAACTATGATTAAATAATTGCCGTTCAGCTCCCAGTTATAAGTTTATTGTATTGGAAAGTCCATTCAATGGATATTAGTCCCAGGTATGGTCTAACCTAGCACTACAGAATAATACCAGGATAGAATGACATGTTATGTACAATAAGAAATATAATAATACAAATATAACTAAGGTTGTAATAATCAGGAATCAAGATTGACAGGCGGCAACTGTCTGCCCAATCAAGACTCAAAACCTGTGTGTTTCTCGCTATATTTAGATAGATTAACCTAAATTTCATTTTAAGTTTGGACAACACAGGATTGTTAGCCTTACCTCCTTCTGTCTCCCCTCCACAAGATTTTTATTCTGGTCTCCAATCCTTGAATCCTTCAATTACTTCCTATCCTCCCAATGGCCCTTTCTTCATGAATTTGGCATCTGGAGGACCTCAACCTTTTAAAATTAAAAAGAAATTGGTTCTGCTAGACAAGGCAAAGGAAAAGAATGCTGTAGCAGCCGCAAAAACTTCAATAAAATTCGTAAAGTAAGCTAAAGCTATTAGTGATTTAGCTGTAAATACAAAGAAAAAGGTTCAATCTGCTTCACTAACAAATTCGAAAATATAGATATCATTTATTCAAAAATCAGTCTTTCCGCCTATATTGTTTTTATTGTAATTATTAATCGTTTGATTATTTGATAAAACGCTAGAATATTTTCTTGTAATGTACTATATACCACGGATGGGGCCAATCGAATTTTAAAAAGAGAAAGACGAAAGGCGGAAGCCGTCGTTGAAATTCAAGGTGTATTGAAAAGAGTTGGAGGATCATGGGAACTATCTGGAATATCCATCCTATATCCGAACCGAAATTTAATGATATCGGATCCAAAACAAAATCTTTATTAATTATTATAAATTGACCAGTGAGGAGAGGCCTTGGGAGCCTTAGGAATAGGATTCTCACTTTCACTAAATTTTTCGGCTAATCGAACCCGACCGAAATTTCGGTTAAATGAAACGAACAAATTTTTGTCTTGTAACATTTTTGTGAGTGATCAGACGATTAATCCCATTGTAAACGAGATTAAGCTTATCAAGGGTTTTTGAATAATAAAAGATTTGCTTGGATTGAAGCTAAAAGACATAGTCATTTAGATTTGGCTGTGTCTCAGTTTATTTAAATATTTTTAAATTTATCAGTTCTATGATTTTTCTTATTTCCTAATAAAAATATTTACATTAAAATTTAAATATAAAAAAATAAAAAGATTTAAATATTAGTTTAAACAAAATCAAAATTATTTGATTGAACTTTTCTCTCGATAAAAAATTTTTTTATTTCGTTAAAAGACAAAAAAGTTGTCTGAAATTTAATTTTAAATCACGTTTATAAATACCATATTTGGTTATTTCTCGCATTTTATATCGAAAAACTATGATCAAAATTTTGTTTTTAGTAATGATAGGGAGCCTAGAATGACTTTTGTTTTACTTGTCTTTCTGGGATTTTCTTAAATTTTTGGGGGTTAGGCTCACACGGATTCATTTTGATTAGTTTCTCCTCATTTTTTTTATTATTTTGTTATAATCTTGCCACATTTCTTGTGCTATTCCACAGATTTTATTCAAAAATTATAAAATTCCAATGTTGTCGAGCCCACTGATAACGTATTAAAGGTTGAAAATGAACATTTTGAGCCCATTACCGTACATGATTAAATACTCCTCCCTTGAAGCTTTATTTTTTAATATTCTCCAAAGGGGTTTTAATAATGGTAGGGGTTTATTTCTAATAATTCTAGGCTTTATCAAGATTAAAATTAAAAATTATAAATCATTCTCTCAGTTACCCACACAAATGCACCTCCTCTCATTAGTACGAGATTTTTTAATTTATCTTTTGCTCTATTCAATTTTTTAATTCTAAAATTCTTTTGTATTTAAAAAATTTTTCTTTTGTTGTAAATATTGCTTTTATAAACGAATGCTTTATTAAAAAGAATTTGTTGACAAACATTCAAACATTCTTGACAACCAGGAAGAGAAATTTAAGAAAATATTTTAAATTCTTTTTTAATTAATTAGAGTTCAGTTGGAAATTCTATACACATTTTTTAATCGAATATTAATTATTTTAATAAGAATCCAGTTTATATTTGAGGCACCAATATTAAGGAAATCAACAAGGTTCCGTCTTATTCAGACCGAACTTTCTGGAGTATAGATAAGATATGTGTTGATATTTTACAGTTGAACAGTAAACATTGAAACTTGTTTAATTGATAGATACACAAGGGATCAGTCAAATATGACTTGGAATTCATACCAAAAATTTGGAAGAATGAAAGTTTAAACTACAGTTAATTCTCGATTCGTCTTCAAAAATTTTTTTAGGGTATTTGATTGAGAAATATCCTAAAATCCATCGAGAAACAGGAATAAGAGTTGTGGCCCATACACCAAAAATTCTTGGTTTAATTTTCGTGTCCGATAACTTCCGGCTCTTTCAGCCCGAACTTTCTTGAGTAAGATATAATAAGAGGTTAATCCACGTTAAAAGTATGGCTTTCACAATTACCCTCTTTAAAATCATTTCTTACTAATTTTTTAATTATTTTTAAACGTGTAATTCACCTCTCTGGTATTCTCCTTTTCAAAAATGAAAGAAATCTAAACACATTTTAGGAATAAAAAAATTTTCTTAACTTTTCATTCTTTTTATTTCCCCCACTATTCGAAGGGAAAAGTTTTTATATTGAATTACGTGCTTTTCCTTTTGTCGAGTGGCAATATTTATTGAATAATAGAACAAATAATTTAAATCTTTTTAATTTTTGATAAGCAAACAAATTGAAAAGTTGTTGATTTTTAACTTTAACAATTAAAAAATTCCCAAAAATTTTCTTAAAAATTAGCTTAAAAATTTTTTTAAATTGCCCCAATTTACAATAAATAATGGAATCGACCTCAAAAAATACACACGAACGAGCACAGTGGTCTAGCGATTGGCAATTTATACTTACTTGTATTGGATATGCTGTTGGTTTAGGAAGTAATTAATTAAATTAAAGGGAGCAACTCAGACCTTTAGGGCAGAGATGAAATTAATTAACACTAACTATCGAGGCTGGCTTAAGAGGAGCAACTCAGACCTTTAGGCAGAGATGCTATTAATTAACACTAAATATTGAGGCAGGCATGTGAATGTTGAGGCAGGCCTTTGGGCAGCTCAAGGTTGTTAAGGAAACATGACGGGAAAAGCCACAAGCTCGAGTTATCTTGAGACATTCTGCTAAGAAATCGTCAGGATTGCTCCCATAAATTAAATCAACATTTTAATTAATTTTAAAAAATTACTCAGATTTATGGAGATTTCCCTCTCTAGCTTATGAACATGGAGGAGGTATTATTAAAATTTTTGATAAAAATTTTTAAACTAAAAGGTGCTTTTTTAATCCCTTATTTAATTTGCTCTTTTATTGTTGGATTGCCTCTTCTCCACCTTGAAATGTCACTCGGCCAATTTAGTCAAAGCGGTACTGCTGTGGTTTATGGAAGGATTAGGCCGCTTTTTCATGGTTATTTATATGATTAATGGAAATAATGTGTAAGTCCGTGGCTGAAAAAGTCCGGTCTCGGGTCTGGTAGTAAGAGGGATTCGGAGAAATTAGGAGGGATAATGGTGGATTTGGAATGCTTAAGGTGATACCGGATCGGTTAGTAAGAGGGATTTGTATTAATTAATAGGGATATCGGTGGATTTGGAGAGCTTAAGATGATACGGTAGTTTAAGCGGGATAAAAGCCTCTCAATCTCTTGACAGCCATCATAATCCCTTAATAAATATACAAAAAATACCGCTGGTAGTAAAGCTTTCTGACTGTATTAACAATAATATTTTAATCAAAATATTTTCAGGAATTGGATGGAGTATGGTGAGTCTACTATCAAAATTTTAAAATTTAATTTAATTATTTTAAGTCGGCAATGTCATTAATTGTATCTGTTTATTATAATGTAGGGCTTATTCAAATATTTATATTAAAATTAATTTTATTTCAAGGTTATACTTGCATGGGTATTAATCTACCTATGGACTGTAATAAAATAATTTAAAGATTATTTGAATATTATTAATTTATAGATAATAACTGGCCGTTCAGGAGAATGGGTTTCATGTAGAAATGATTACAATACTATCTGTAATAAATATAATTTTTTCAAACTAAAGTCTTACTTCATTATATATAATACACCTTGGGATTGAAAACCAAAATTTAAATTGAGAAAACTCACTTGAATCTTATGGATTAATAAGAATTAATAAGATTAAGAAGGGTTATATGGGTGATCATAGAATTTGAATGGGTTTAGGGGTATATTGAGGAATTTGGGTATGATTTCTATGGAAGGATCAGGTTTAAATCCTCTTAATCCCTCGATACCCTTAATAACACCCATCTAAGATTGGGGGTCAGGAGCAAATCATCTAATCCCTCGATATCCTTCTTAATAACCCCCAAACCATCTAATGTCCTTCTTAGTCCGCAAAATCCCTGGCACTGCTCCGATCTGACGGGTTTCTTATGCCTAAACTTGTGGTCAACTTTTCTCAACCGTGATACCCCTCTTGGGTATATTTTAAAGTAAGTTATGAATATTCTTATAGAGATTAAAGTGCCGATTTCATTTAAAAAATTTTTGCTTATAAATTTTTTACATGTACTTAGATTGTCAATCTACTGTAGAAGACAGTCTTTGTATAGAGGAATTCGCTCAAAAATCTCAAAATGTTTTGGCATTTTATTTTAATAAAAGTTGTCATTCTGCCAATGATACGCTTACAAAAAATTTAAAAACTGAAACATTTAATAAATTGTCTGCAGTCAGTCCAGCAGAAGAATTTTTTGAGTTTAAATTAAATTTAAAATTAAATTAAATATTTTACGTGAAGAAATTATGTTTTGGAAAAAACTTTAAAATTGGATCAGTTTGGAGGAATTAATTTAAAAGTGGCTTTGGCATTAGCTATTGCTTGGACACTTACAGGGCTAGTTTTGGTGAAAGGAGTTAAAATGATGGGAAAGTAAGAAACTTTTTTAAAGATGGAGAAATGAGGATTTCTCTGCTTGGTTTAGGAGAATCGAAGAGAGCTAGTCCCAGCTCTCGAGCCCGAACTCCACTTCCAGCCAAATAATGATTTCTAGGCCGTTCAGGACATTCATTTCTCGTTCTCCGAATGTTATTCAACGAAGTGTTAATCCATGACATTAAGTTATCGCTAACGGATCGGGAACCAATCTAATAGGGGTAAAAATAGATTATAAAATAATCCATCATTGGCTTAGATAGTATGTAGTACTAGTCAATTGTTCCATCCAATTAATTTTTATATATCGGATATCCAAAACTCGAAAAGCATTAAATCAAAGGGTCAGCAATTCGAGATTTAAGATTCTTAAACGTATACAGACTTCTCTTCTCCGAATCCCTAGCGGATCGAATCCTTACGAAACCTTAACTATAATAGATCGTTATTTGAATTGCAAATAATTATTTCAATTTACTTTAAATTTAAAGAATTTCTTACTTCACTGCAACCATTCCCTACGTCATAATTGTTATTCTTTTTATCCGCGGAATTACTTTAGACGGTGCTTCAATTGGATTAGACTATTATATATTTCATCCTGATTTTAGTGTTATTCTTGACCCAGTGGTAAATTTCGATGATTAAATTCTAAAATAAATTTAAAAAAAGACTTGGAGAGCAGCAGCAACACAAGTATGTTATAGTCTTTCTGTTGGCTTTGGAGGCATTTTGTCTTTATCTAGCTATAATCCAAGAACTCATAATTGTTATAGAGATGCTTTTATAATTACAATGGCCGATGGTTTGATACATTTAAGACCCACTATTAGATACCCACAGAATTACCACAAGTTAAGATAAAGGGCCGGAATGGAATTGATAATGCTTGACCTAATAGCTTGTGTGTGATGTAAGGGTTCCAAGATAGTCCTTAATTAATAAATAATTGATCGACTTCCCCGGATATCGGTGATAATCTTCGCCAACTGCTAAATCATTAGCCCTTATCTGATCATTCTCCTAATCATTATCCATCCTTCCCTGGCTGGATCAAAACACACATTACAAACATCGTTTAAGATATGGTTGACCAATGGGTAGGAGGCTACCTACTATTTAGCCCCGAGTGTATCTAGCGAGTCCGAGTATTAATTAAAAATAATTCTGTAACTAAAAGGTTTCATGTCCATCTTTGGAGGGACTGCAGTTTTCTCCGTCTTGGGATTTATGAGCAAACAATTAAATGCAAAAATACAAACAGTTGTACAGAGTGGAACAGGACTTGCATTTATTGCATATCCCGAGGTTTATTGACTGAAAAATTCTACTGAATTTTTAAAGGCAATGAGTAGGATGCCTCTTCCCTGGCTTTGGTCTTTTCTATTCTTCTTAATGCTTTTTATTTTGGGCATTAGTTCCCAATTTGGATTAGCCGAAGTTATGATTACAGCCATTTATGACCAATTCCCTGCTGTTCGCCCTTATAGGGGTTGGCTGGCTGTTGGGGTTTGTGGATCTCTTTTCTTAGTTGGACTAATTATGTGTACAAGGGTAAGATTTATGGTACTTTATGGTAATTTTGTATTATCTATTTACGCTTATCAAATAAACATTATAAAATTTATTAGATTAAATACTTATAAATAGAGCATTAAAAATGATTATCAATCAACTTTCCAATATTTAATCCTTGTTTCTTAATACCTCCCCAAATCTGCACTGAGGTTATATCTCGTCCAGCAGGGGTGAGCGCAAGAGACAATCTTATAAACGCAAGACGCAATGCAAGGTCAAAATTTAACGCAAAACGCAATGCGCTCACCTCTAGTCCAGAGATATAATATAAAGTTTAAGAGTAAATTTCAAAGGCAAATCATTTCCCAATATCTTAATGATATTTAAGATATATGTAGATAAGCTAAAATATAATAATCTATGAAGTATCATGCTTAATTATGAGACCATTATGTTCCAACTTGAATTACTTGTGAAAATTATAATAAATTTTTTTATAGTCTGGAATATTTTTCTTTAACATATTCAATGATTATTCTGCTTCATTTTCTCTATTGTTAATGGTCATATTAGAAATTATTCTAATTATCTACATTTATGGTTATTTATTTTCAAACATCTAACTATTAAGAAAAAATTAAAGGTCTTCCAAATTTTTTGGACGATCTACGTTCAATGTTTGGATATCCACGTACTTGGTTAGGCAAAGTATTTGGTCCAACTGGTTATTATATTCAAGGGATTTGGTGTTTTTTGGCACCACTTCAGATTACAGTAATTTTTAAATTAATTTTTCATTATGCGACCAAAGTCCGTAACTTATATCCGCAAGTTTTGATACTCTTAATAAGATTATAGTGGATATGTAAAGGATATGTTAATATTTTCAATAATAAGTTTTTTTGAAATTCCTCTGAATTTATCCGCAATATCTTGCAGATATAAATTTGCGGACTATAATGACATAAAAAATGAACCCAGTTGATCTCGTAATAAAATGAACCCTCTGGGCCAAAAATCTATATTGTGGTAGGGTATCTTAACTCGTAATTATATTGCTTAAACACCGAAATTGATATGTCTTTATTTTTAATTAATTTTGGTTCTACAGTATTGGAAGTACATAGTTCCAACTGTTAATAATCTAATTTAAATTTCAAAAAGATATTATTCGTTGTTGTATTATTTACTCAAATTTCACACAATTTAACTTATGGAAAAGACAAAAGGCTTTATGAATATCCAAGTTGGGCAATTGGTTTAGGCTGGCTAATATCAATTATACCAATTCTATTATTGCCAATAATGGCTGTTTACAATTTGTTAAAATTTAGACAAAAGAGAAAGGTACGGTAGCGCGACACTTGCGGCCCGACATTTGCTGTCCAAAGAGGAGTAATAGAAACTAAAATCCAAAATGAAGGTTATTCTTGTGCATGTTCTTCAACCTATATTGTGCCTGTGTTTACCTTTAGGGTTGCCAAAATGCCCGACTCGGACCGAAAGATCGAGTCGGGCATAAGATATTTGGCCCGAAAAAGACTCGTACGGCCCGACTCGATAAAAATGAAGCCCGAAAAAATGACTCGACCGTCAGCCCGACTCGAAAACGGCAACCCTATTCACCTTCTCTCCAAAGAACGAAGGAGACGTTGTCCCTTGGTAAACATTTTTTCAGAAATTTTTTGTATAGAAACAGCTCCGTCACTAAGTCTTGTAAGGTTATGATAGGGGTGGTTCGCAAATGTCGAAAAGCGAGAGTCGTTTCACTTAATAAATTATAAAACTTTATTTAAAAAGAATTGGAAAGAATTGCTTAAATTACAACCAAAATGGCCTTCCTATGAAAAAAGAAATGTAATGGAAAAACCCTTCTGCCATATATTATCAAAATTGGGTCCAACCACTTCTAGTAGAGTAGAACCTATTAATGGAGATAATAAAAGGATAAATAATTCAAAAATAAAAGAAGAAATAAAAGAAGGAATTCAAAATAAAATTTATTCTGTTCATTTTTGAGCGATCTAATAATTAATTTTTTTGTAATAATTTTGACTATTTAAATTTTCAATTTTAAAAATTGTAAAATTTTATAATAATACTAGAAAAAATTTATAGATCATAACTTTCGGTATCGAAAAGTAATTATAATTATTTATGGAAAAACATTTTTTTCAATGACTTTAAGATTTTTTTCATATTTTTATAGAATAAAGCTCTTACAGCGTTTTCTCTTTTTATTTTTCTAAAAGTAAAATCATGGAATAATTTAGTTACTATTGGTTTAAAAAAATTATTGTTTAAATAATTAAATAAATAGAGAATAATTAATGAAATAGAAAGATGTGAAAATATTATTTTAATAAATCATTTTTAAATATCCCTCAAAATTTTTAGATAACTTTCAAAAATTAGCTCAAACATATTGTTATTATCTAAAATAATTAATTTTTAGTATATTTTTAAATACATACCAAACTCTTCATTGTCAAATAAACACGACTATACACGTCGTTAATTCCAAATTTCTTACAAATCTTTTCGTTACCTCTCTTTTAACTTTTTTCACACACACACAAAATAATTTTTTTGGTGTATTCTAAAAGATTGAAAAAAATATTTCCATCGAGTAAATGTACCTATAATTGGTCCTGCTTTTCACCTTTGAAGCATTATCAAAAATAGGAAAGTATTTTCTCTTCCTATTTGGTTTCGGAGGAGAAAAGCTAAATATGTATTAATATATTTTATTTTTTAAATTGAAAACATCCTCAAAATTTTTTTCACGATCTTAAAATAAATAAATTTAAAAATTTTTTAAATAAAAGATAACCAGTCTTTTCAAAATAATTTCCTTAGTTTCTTCTGCGTTTTTATAATTCAGTTTGCTAAAATTTATCTTTATGTCAATTATATGTTTAAAAATTAACCATTATTTTAATGAACCGTAATAATTTGGAACTGATATTTTCTAATCCGGTACTGATATTTTCCTATTTTCTTGTATTTTTATAAAAAGCTTCTCTGAAATTTCAAATAGTTTTGTCTGTGCTACATGAAAGCAAGTTCTTGAATAAATTAAATTTTCAAATCCTTTTGAATCAGTTTATTTACTTCAATAAGGGAGTGAATCTTTATAGGGGGCCCAATAGACCTACACCCCGAAGACCTCACCGTGAATGTCATTTGACTCTAAATCAGTTTATATACATCAATTATTTACATCAACAAACTTTTGATCAATATTAAAGGGGATAATGAGTGATTTTTTGGGACTAAGGTGTATATCGGTGGATTAAGAGAGATTAAGAGGATATCAGGAGATTTAGAGGGATTAAAAGTGAAAATTGGCAATAAGAAATTGAATAAAAATAATTTTTAATAACTTCAGTTTCTAAATGTTTTTTCGATTTTTCATATCCGCAATTGTAAATTAAATAAACTATATTAGTCACAAAAATGTACTTTTTGTTGACGTTTATCTTTTGAGTTAAATTCCTTTATTCTAAAATGAATTTTTTAGGTTTTTGATATACTTTGAATATTTAATTTGTTCAGGTGACTATTTTTGGATGAATAAATACTCTCTCAAAATTTAAATTTTATTTAAATGACCTTTTCATTTTAATATAATTCCGAAAATAAATATTAAAAATGTTTAATCGGCAAATTTTATATTTGTTTTTGATTTTAGTTTTGGTTAGCGATACCTGTGCGGTAAGTCTTTAATAATTTGGTAAATAATTAATGTCGGCAAATTGAGTTTTCTTTAAATTCGTTATAGTATTGTCGTTCACGTATTAACGGAAGAAATAAGTAATTAGATAAGCTTTAGTAAATTGTCTTATAAGCTTTAATTTAATGCCCGGGCATTCTATTTTTTGATTATACATTAAGAAGCATCTTATAAATATAGTTCGGCATTCAAATGGAGAGGAAATCTATTAGACTTTTTTTGTTAGTTAATTAGAGAACTAGCTAGAAAGTTGATCAAGAAAGGTTTCTTAAACTTCTATCTAATAATTAAAATTTTTAACGAGATCACGATATCGTCTCGACTAATTTTATAGAGTAAAGCCAATACGAAAATCTTAAAAAGTTTACCAATGAATTCATCATACCTCTGGTCTTATTTCTAATCAAATAATTTTTAAAATTCTTAATAAATATTTTAGTTTTGGTTCCCTTGGCCTGCTCGTAAAAATAATGAGAAATCTTCAAGTAGTTCATCTGAAGAACATCATGGCTGGTGGCATCCTCATTGGCGATCTTTTGAAAGAGGAAGACATGGAGGTATACATCACCACAAACACAAAGACACATCTACATCATTTCCGGCTTCTACAGGCACAGTCTCTCCACCTTCAACAACAACTTGAAATTTATAATGAAATTTAACTTTCAATTATGAATAATTTTTAGATAGAATTTACACAATAATAAAATAATTTTAAATATTATACGATTAAAATAAAGCGGTATATTGTATCTATACCCTTTGGAGTTATGAATAAATTTGTAATTTAAAATTTTACGCATATTTTATTAGTTTATTCTGCATATTTATTATTATCATTATTATTATTATTATTTTCCGCATTTTAAAACATTTAAAGTAAATGTAAATTTTACAAAATAAGGTTAGGAAATTTTAATCGTTTATCCAATATATAAATAATTAAAGCGAATTTTTGGGTTTCTGATGGCCAAATTTTGGTATATTCTTTTTATATATATTTTTCAAAAATAAAGGGGAAATCTCAAAAATTTATCCTTTCTTTCAGTTTCTAACTTTCTCTATTTCTTTTGTAAATCCTCTAACTATTTAAATTAAATATAGGCATTAATGATTTTCACATGACAACCAGGCCTATCTATAAAGTCGCTAGTTTTCTAAAGAAAATTGCGAAATCATATGCTGGACAGGATTTGGCTTAATTAGATCATGTATTTAGCTCAGCTACCGTAATTCGACCCTCCCTACTCTCATTCAGCATTAACTGTCTCTCCCAGTCTCTGCCGAATTCCCTGATTATGGCAAATCGCTATGCATCTTGTAATAGAGAATATTTTTAAGATTGATGGGACGCGATCTGCTGATCTCCTTTTTATTGGGATTTTTCTAGCTCACATTACTATACATATAGCTCAAAAGATTAACTTTTGTGAGCTACAAAAGTTTATATAAGCATACCTATTCTGAGAGCTACTTTCAAATTATATTATTCTTATTCTTATGATAAGCAATTTTTTAGTTACTGTCTTTATAATAATATTCCACAGACACAATCATAGTCAGGGAAAAAATTAGGATCAAGACTGGCTCCGATCAAGACTGGCCCAGCTAAAACCGGCCATTTCGTTTATACAAGTCGCACAACAGAGATAGGCTTTTGGCATTTTAAAAGGTGGGAGACACAAGAGGTGTTATAGTGTTGCCCAGGATCTATCAATAAGCTAAAATACGTTTTTAGACGTTTTACTTTAAGCCAGGCTAGCAGAAAAACGGAATTTCTCTATAATTCCCATTCCTTTACATCATTAAAATTAAAAATTTTTTAAATTTTAGTTAAAATCATGAATTTCCAATCATTCAAAATGTCAAAATCATTCAACTTTCTGATCCTTTTAACTTTTATTTTAATTCTACTTTCAAGTTCAAATGGAGGGTCAGGGCGTGGTGGACGTAGAAGAAATGTTGCACGGGGTGGCTCTTCAGGTTCAAGGCATGCTGAATCTCCAGGTGTCGGAGAAACTAGTGTCGGATCATCAAGTTCAAGTCGTAGCGGACGTGGTGAGGCTTCGAGTTCAGGTCGTGTTGGACCTTCAATTAGCAATGCAGAGCAAGAACGTATTCTTGAAGGACTGATTATAGACTATGCTAAATCGACAAATCTAGTTGAATACAGAAAATATTACAATTGTGCAATTGATATGGAAAATCGTATTAAACAGAAAAATAATGATATTTCTAATAAGGTTTGAAAAATTGTTTCCTTCGATCCTAGCAAGTAAAGCAAAAATTAAAACGATCAGTTGGTATTGGGGTGGTTGATTGGTTTTTAGAACATTTAGGATATATCCTATTCAATCCTTTGATATTTCTGGGATGGTTTTAAATAATACATCAATTTTAATAATTTTAGAGTAAGAAAATTTTAGAAGAATCATTATCAAAACCAGGAATGTCGAACAGTCAATTAAAATTGAAAATGAATGAAATGATTGCTAATAAGACGGCTGTTAAAGAGATTTATGCCTATTGTGAAAATTATTTAAAAGAAACCATGATCGAAATTAAGAAAAACTGTTTAGTAAGTCTGATAAAGTTTGATAAAATTTTAAAGTTTAAAATTAGGAGTATAAAACAGTGGGCTATTCGAATTAGGAGAATCATAAAGTCAGATTTCAATTATATACTAAACAAGGCTGAAATGGTCTAGCTTCGACCCTTCAGCTAAGTAATGCAAAGGTTAAACAGGCGGCTGCTGTAAACCTCAGTTAAATCTGGAGTCTATAACCTAAAAAAGTCTGGATAATTTTTCCTCGTACCTTTGGTTAAAGATCTAAATACACCTAAAAGCTACTCATAAATCGAAACAATAGACTGATTGATAAAAAGTTGTGATCGATGAAGTGCCGAAAAATCACATGTTTTGAAAAAATTTAGAGTTAAATCATAAATTTTTATCACACATTCGAAAATTGTGATTTTTTGAATCATTTTAGAGTATTTAATTCTCTATTTAATGATCACAGAACATGAAGAATTATCTACATCCCTGCAGGAGTTAACCAGGTCCAGACTGAACTCAACCGGTCTGATGCGAATGGAAGCGGGTCATGTTCAGTTGATCAGACTGATGTGTTAACTATTATAGCACGTTGTCTCTTGCATAGTTTTAGGAATTATTAATTTTTAGGAAATTATATTTTCCTTTAGATTCTGAATTAGCAACACGGAATTCCGACTCACTTCTACCTACTAGAGCTAGAAGCATACTTGAAAAAATTTTTCCTTTGAATTAAAAATAATTACAAATCATTTAATCCAATTAAGAAAAAAATGAATGAGATTGTATTTAAAGAAGCCGAAGAAAATGATGAAAAAAACTGTCCACTCTGTCAAGATAAATTTGAAGAAGATGAAGACATTGTAAAGAATAAGTGTGGCCATTATTATCATTATGGATGTCGACTTTCTAAAAAAATCAAAAACTGCCCGTCATGTAATGATAAACTTGCAGTGGTTAAAAATAAAGATGTTGAGACGTTAAACGACAAACTAAAACTTTTTGATCTTGGCATTGAAGATATGGAGTTTTGAGAAGATTTTTTAGTTCTAACAAGAAAAGTTGTCCATGTTTTAATCTCTTTCCATTAATTTCCCTTTATTTGACTGAATTTCGCTAAAATTAAAATGGGACCTAATTAAACACTTAGTGCTGAAATTGCATCTTACTGCATGTGTATTTTAAATTAGGGATAGAATTTAAGTAGTTAAGCCTGAAGTTAACTAACTAAATTCCTTGCTTAAGTCAGAAGGGTTATGATTGATATCGTCAAACCCAGTTTAGCCTTTTTAAATTACAGGTTTATCTGTAATTTAAAATTATATACTTCAGAAAGCGAAATTCAGTCAGGTAACAATTGTACTTTTATCAAAAAACGAAACAAAAAACTAAAATCAAAAAAATCCTAAAAAATCAAAAAAATCCTAAAAAACACAAAAAATTCTAAAAACGCAAAAAACACAAAAATTAAAAAAACTCGAAAATTCCATTAAACAAAATTATCAAAAAAATATGAAAATAAAAAATCCAAAAAAAAAACAAACAAAATCAAAAAATTAAAAAAAAAAGATTCCCGGAAAAACTTTTATTTGATCTATCTATTTAAAATTTATTTTCCTTTCCTGTTTTCATTCTTTTGTAAATTTTAAATATTTAATCTTTTGTATAAAATATTTCGGGGAATTGTTTTGTTTAGTTATATTTTTAATGTTTAATGATTATAAGGGTGTCAAAAATATAGGGAATGTTACCTTTAAAAATTTCAAAAAATTTTTTCAATTCTATTAGGTGCGGACATAATTAGTGGCCGTTTTTTTAGATTAAATTTTTAGGGGTGTTATATTACATATATTCTTTCTACTTATTAATCAACATAAAGATCCGAATCTGCTCTTCATTTTAATACCAGGTTTAGCCATACACGGGTTAGATTCTTAGAGTTATGATTTTTTGAACTTCACTACCTCGTAGTGAAATTCACAAGCATTTACACCAAAAATTTTAAATTACCAAAAATGCAATAAAAGAATCAAATAATCTTAGGATCTAGTCAATGGGATCGTTGTCTATGCTAGACAGCAAAAAATAGGGTTCAGGCTTTATGAGTAAGGCCGTATAACTCTCAGAAGCAAGCATGGTCGAGGGAGACGTGTACTCTCTTTTGTACTCCCGCGTGTACTCTCTTTTGCACAGATGGGAAAACGACACGACACTCCCCCAAAAAGTTGTTTCTTATAACTTAGCGTAAAATCATCCGATCAGGATGATCTAAACGGTTTTTTATATAACTTTCAGGGCTTATTCTAAATCCGAGGTATAAAGTCTGTAAATTGTGTCGAACCCGGAATTCGAATTTCGACCTTTTTGAAAAATTTAGACCTTTCGGATTAAAAATTCGACTTAGTGCCCTCCTGATAGAGATTTTGAAGAGCTTTCGAATGATATATTACACTAGATATTAGCATTACATATACTCGAAAAAATTTGATTTTCGATGATTTCGAAAATTTTGACATTTTCGATCATAACTCCTTGAATAACTAACCAAAAATTTCCAAATTCTGGGATCGTTTAGAAAATACACTGACAAATTATTCGGTATAAAAATAAAAAATATTTTTAAGGAAATTAATTCTAAAAAACCAAATTAAAAAACGGCCACTAATTATGTCCGCACCTAATATTAGAATAGATAATCTTAAACAAAATTATGAACCTCAAACTTTGATTGAAAAAGCATATTTTCGGAGACCATAACTAGAGTTGCAACAAATACTCAAAACTAGGCAGCGGATTTTCGTTGAAATATATTTTTTCTGCAAATACGTTTTGTCGTGACAAGCCCAAATAGCTATAATTATTATAATTTTACTCAATTGTGGAAGTAAGTAAGAAAAAAGTTTTTCAATATTATGATTTTTAACAAAGTTACATTTAAAGATATTTCAATATTTTGCCAAAATTCTCAAAATTTTTGTCTTCGACGCTGAAAATCGGGAAGTCTGCCATATTTAAAGGGTAATTTTGCAGAATCATCGAAAAAATTGCCAAACTCGAACCGGGACCAAACCAGTTTGGTTTATAAAAAATTCTCAATATTTTGCCTTGCGGCACTAAATAACAAAATCGTCGTTGCCTCGTACCCTCATTTATATAATATTTCACCAAAAGTGTTTGAATTGAAACAAAATGCTAAAATGGGATAATAAGTTAACACAAATCGGTTTCGTTTACCCAAAATCGGAACCAAAAACAAGTGGTAGAAAGACGTTAATAACCAAAAAATGGTCTTACTTGTTAATATCTGTTGTATCCAAACTTACATTAAATCATAATAAACTCTAACTAATTAAACAAATAATAATTTTAAAGAATATTATATTTATTAAATAATTTTAAATTTAAATTAATTTTTTTTCAAGTTTTAATCAATTATTGCCATTCAATAATGTCTAGGAGTCTGGCATTCACGCGATACCATTCACGAGTCTTCATTCACGCGACCCCCCTCGAAAATTTTTTTTCTTTCTCCACCTCATATTCTTACCTTCTCTCTCACTTACATAAAAATCCTTGTCACACGTGAATTCGCTTCTATGAATTTGTAAATAAAGTCAAAGAACCCGATTCCATCCGGAAAATAAATAAATTTTGGTAGGATTTTATTCTGAGAGCTCACCCTCTAGCTTCGATTGATCAAGTGAACGATATTAAAAATTTCTGGAAAAAGTAACATATGGATTGAATTCTTAATTTTATAATTTGTGTATGTAGAACGGTTTAGTAAAAAATTCTTTAAAGTTTTATTTGTAAAAGATGAAGAGCTAAAAGCAAATGTCAAAATTTACATATGTATTATTTTTAAATTAATCCTAAATTTAAAATTTTTTTGCTTTGGAAATATGTTAAATTGATTTAAAAAGGAAAATTCATGGAGTTTTATCAATTTTATTAGAGAAAATGCCGATTGTTTTATCATTTTCTATTCTTTATTGTATAATTTCTTTGTATAAAGTGAAAAATTACAAACAGTAATTTTTATGTAATAACTTATTTTTGACAAATTTTTCTGAATTAGAAAAGCTGCCTACGGTTGTAGAGAATAGATTGGGATGGTCCGGCAAAATTTAATTTTTGTAGTGTTTCTCATAATTTTGTGATTTTGGTCTATACTAACATTCTTAATAATCACCAAACTTTAAAAATAAATACAAAAATTTCCCCGAAATATTTTATACATAAAATTAAATATTTAAAATTTACAAAAGAATGAAAATAGTAAAGAAAAATAGATTTTACATAGACAGAATGAAATAAAAGTTTTTTGGGGAATCTTTTTTGGATTTTTTGTGTTTTTTAAATTTTTTGGATTTTTATTTTTTTGTTTTTTTTTGTAGATTTTTTCGTTTTAACGATTTTTTGGATTTTTTAAATTTTTGTAAGTTTTTTTGTGTTTTTTGGATTTTAAAGATTTTTAGTTCTTTTGTTTTTTTTTGTTTTTTTTTTTGATTTTTTGGTTTGTTTGAAATATAAATATACCTAATAGACTGAATTTCATTTTTTAAATTAAATACAAATGCTTATTACAGTTAAACGGTCCAATAAATTCTAGCCGATTTTTGAGGAACCAAGACTTGAGAATAATAGACAAATCTTTTTATGACTTGAATGTATAAATGCTAATTTAGAAAATCTAAGTTTAGATTAGGCCCATTTCAAAGGATTAATATCAACCTTAATTTGTTTCCGTTCCTCCCATAGCTTTTAGGCCATAACTTGTCTTCATTGTCATACTTTTGTTCAAACTTTTTAGAATAAATACTAACCTATTCTTATAAAACTTAATCTATATTATTTTTATTAGAGATCGGATAGATACGATTTTTTCGATATTTATCGATATTTTTCAATATTAGTTTTCGATATTTATCGAAAACTTAAAATCAAAAAAATTTAAAAATCTAAACAACCCATCATTCAAATAATGCCCGCTATATTCGCTTTAATCCGTCTTTATCTATCCATATCTCATTTAATCAAACTTACTTAACTAAATATTGGGATTATTTTGTTATTCATTATTTATAAATTTTTATTTTTTTTGATTTGATAGTTTTTCGATATTTATCGAAAACTATCGACGTTTTGGCTCTAATTTTTATAAATGTCCTTATCATTACTCTAAATTATAAACCTCGAAGATTCAAGTCACGTCATAAAAAGATTTATGAAATTTAGTTAAAAACTGGTTAAGGAGAGCTACTTAAACTATGCAAGATTCAATTTCACCCCAATAATTATCTTATATTGAGGATAGATTTCTAGGTTTCTTGAAATTATTTTTGAATTTTTGTATGAAATTCAGTCAAAATATAAGGTAAAATATTAAACTTGTCTAAAAGCATATCTCTCTTTAAATTCAAGATCAACAATTTTTAGTTTATTGTTCAACTCAACAGCGTCTTCGTTATCATCTAAATCAAGTTCTCCACGACATATTGGACATTTACCAAAGTTTCCCCTTCCTTCTTCAAAATATTTTGATATACAATCCCAATGGAAGTAATGATTACATTTAGTCTTTACAATGATTTCTTCTTTTGTAAATTCTTCAAGACAGACTGGACAATGGGTATTATTATTTGCTACAGCTTCGTTATACATAAATTCCCTCATTTTATTCTTAAAGAGATTAAATATTTAATAATTTAATGATTTTGCACTTGAGACGCCGAAAACGGTTTCTGACTAGTGACGTGTTTACTCGTAGTACTTAAGAAATTAGCAGAAAATCAAAAATTTTATTTTCTGATGCTTAAAACAACATAATTTGATTTTAAGAGCACTCCTTTTCCACGGAAAAAGATCACTCCTTTTCCCCGGAAATGTCTTTGGTCCGAGATATAAGGCTCGAAATGGTCAAAAATCATGGGGGGAGTAAGCCCATTTCTGTGGTAAAAATTCAAATATCTATTTAAAACATCATTCGAAAGAGCTCTTTCGTATGACACCAAAATCACCGTAGTCGAACAAGCTTGGACCAAGTTACGATACAAAAATTTGTTTTGTTCTTCAATTTTCAGGGACCTGTTTCTCGGTCAAATCAAATCAGATATCGTTGATTTTGGTGTCTTTCGACTCAGCTCCATGAGCTCTTTCGAATGAGTCTCAGCATCTTTTTTTTCCCCTATATATGACATTTTGAGCATTAACCTATTTTGGGGGTTCAATATTTAAAAATGCGATCACTAAATATAATGTTAACAGGAGTAAATTTATTAGACTTACTTTGCAATTCTTTCGAATCTCCAAAATAGTATCTCCCATATACTTTTTGCAGTATTCTTTGATTTCATTAACTGCAGACCCATCACTGATCATTCTATTTTTTGTTATTTTTAATTGTTTTTTCGAACTTATTCGATTTGATAATGATTTCTCTAGATATTCCAAAAACTAAAATAATTTAAATTAATATTTTATAATGCAACATTTCTGCTACAGTCCTATATTAATGTTACAGTAAAAATTCCATATCCGTCTAAATTGCATTTGGCCTGCCCAATCAACCGTTTTTATACACAACTAATTTGAAATTATTTTGATAACGGTATTATTATTGAATTACTTATATTAGTAGGAATTATTCCATATTGAATAAAAGTACTTGAATAAGAAAATATGTTTAATTCCAAAAGATTTTTATACAAGGATTAATTAACTAAACCTCTTTTGGAATTTTAATACTTCCTTGTTGCTGAAGGTTTCCCATCGTGACTGCACAATTATGATGTTTAATGTAATCATCAGCAGATCTCGTGGTATAGTCTCTAATCAATTCAGCACGAACAAGTTGTTTTTCCCTAAGCTCATTTTCTGACAAAGAAGGTATACCTCCACTAGAACTTGAAGCTCCACTACGTCCACCTCGCCTAGAATTTGAAGATCCACCACTACTTGAATTTGAAGGCAAAATTTCAATAAATATCAAAAAGAGAAGGGCATTGAATGATTTTGACATTTTGTTTGCTTGAAAAGTCTAGTTTTTAACTTGAATTTTTAGTTTTTAATTACCGTATTTTCTCTAAAATAGCCCCCCCTCTAAAATAGCCCCCCTCTAGAAGTCGATCGAAAAAAATAACCCCCCCCCCTCCCATAAAATATTTAATTATTTTTTGGCATTGATATTTTTCAAAGCACAGCAATGTTTAATCCTTATATGTCAATAAAATTAGAAATGATTATGGGGGATATCGAGGATTTGAAGGGATATAAGGGGATTATGATGGATTAAGGGATAGCTGTGGATTAATATGGATTAGAGGATTCCTCAATCCCTTAAAATCCACTAATACCCAACGATGTCTATCTTCACTAATTCCATCCACTTGATCTCTCGATGAAGGATTAGAGTCAAGTCACATTGACTTTAATACCTAAAAATGCCAAATAGGCATCTTATTCCAACCCCATTTAATATTATTAAACTTTAGGGACTTGACTGAGATGTATACAAGTGGGATAATAATCTAAAAGAACCTTAAACGGAGTCTTGGATGAATTTAAGGACTGAGGAATACTTGTGGAATTTTTTGGGCTATGATTTTCGTTAAGAGAATTTTAGTTCATGATGAATTCTATTAAATTTTAGAAAAATATTATTCAAAATTTGGTAAAAAAAATTTAGGTTTTCAAAAATTTAGTCATCGAAAAAAATAACCCCCCCCCCCCTCTAAAATAACCCCCCTCTGGAGGTCGATCGAAGAAAATATCCCCCGGGGGCTATTTTAGAGAAAATACGGTATATAGTTCTTAACTTGAACTCAATTTATTAAAAAAAATTTTCTACAAAATAGACGAGGGCAATAAAATGAATAATAACGGGCAGAATTATTTGTTTAAATAAACAAGCCGGCCTAAAAAGTAAATTTTAATTAAGTCAAGGCTTTAGACTAAGTTTCGAAATTTCGATTTTAATGGTGATCGTATTTCGTACCGCCCCACATTATTATCTCCCATTTGACGCACGCACGAAAAAGTTAAAGCGTTACCTTAATTATAAAGCATCGTGCCCCCTTACGCAATCATAAGTGGAAGTTGTGCACATTCACCCCTCTCCATCACTTTTGCCCATCTCAAAATGGGTGTCGAAAATTTCTTTAAATTTTCGTCGAAGGATGTAATAAAATTATTAATTTTTCCATTTTTACTTGTATGACATCACTTTTTGCTGATCGTTATCGCCTACTTCGCTCTTTCTCTCCTTTTTCCATAAATGGATAAAATTATCCATTTTATCTTAAATTCCAATCTAAAAAATTATTAATAATTTTATCCAACAGGGAAAAAAGGGAGAAAGTGCATTTCCGCCCAACTTTATTAAAAACATGATTTTTTCTATGTTTTCCACTTTTGCCATTGCCCCACATTTTTTACCACACACATTGAAAATGTTCTATTTAAGCCAATTTTTTCCCCTTACACCAACATTCGTTCATTCAGTATAGCTTTTCCTTGAATCATTCCTTATCCTTACCAATTCCAACCACCTTTTCCATACACACAAATAATTGTAAAATTGTATTAAATTAAATAAATATTATTAAAATATTCTTTGTTCTTTTGTTAATATTCTTTGGGAATATTCGCCTAACTTTCGTCTACGTCTAAACTTGGCCGTCTAAAACCCTTTGCCTCCTCGTTTGAATTGCCCTGTCTTAATCTTTGGGATTAAGACATACCTCATCAAGACCCTTAACCCCAACTTCTTATTTTAGCGGCGAACGACCTAGTTCCCTTTTGGGAATCCCGACCTAGGAAGTTCCCGTTAAAATTGGTGCCACGACCCGGGACCTGCCGTCGACATTCATCAGTCAACATCGTCTATATTCGGCAGCATCGTCTAATCAACTCGTCTAAATCCTAAATTCGTCTATTGGTTTAATTCGTCAATTGGTTTAATTTTTTCTTCCGTCAACGTATCAACGACACTTAACCTTTCAACATGTCACGAATACTTCGTCAAGAGCTCGGTGTAGCGGTGACGTCACTCGTAGAACGTCTAAAGAATGCCGATTCGTATATCGACAAAATCAAATCGACACCCACGGAAGAGGAGGAACGTGAACTCCTTATCGAAGTTGAGATGGAACTCGTACATCTATCTCAGAGGACCGAGAAGCTCCAATCAGTCATTCGTCACTATCATCAGTATATGGAAGGTTTAAATGAAGCGAAGCAAGATGAGGAAGAAAACTTTTTGGTCAATTATTTGACGGACGACGAGAAATCAGACAGAAATCAAATTCAACATCATTGGCCAATCACCAGTTTGGTCAACCGGGCAGAAGAGGCAATCAACCGTCTAAAGGCTTATCGAGTCATGCGTCAAATGACAGAAAGCAACAGTAATAATTCACCAAGTGCGCAGGGATCAATCAACCTCAACGAATCGCAACAGACACATATTATTCGGCCAAACCAAGAAAGACGTCAGTTATATTCGGACGATGAAGAAGAAAGAGAATGGACACGACAGCGACGAAACGTACGACAAAACGACAGAGATACTTACGAACCAGAAGTAAGAATTCGTCAAGAACCGTCACAAATGACAATGACATCATTGAATGCTCTTAAAGTCGACAGTGTTCGTCTACCTACGTTTGGCGGCGATATTAGAGAGTGGCGTACATTTTGGGCAGCATTCGAACATGCCGTCGATCGACAACCATACCCTCTTTTCCAGAAACATCTTTTGCTCTTGCAAAACCTCAGAGAAGGATCGGCAGCTCGTGAAGCTATTATTGGATACCCACCATCAGACACCAATTACCCAATCGTCAAAGAAATTTTGAAGGATAACTATGGAAACGACGACCAACTCAGCGACCAATTAGAAGCACAACTCTTGAAACTACAGCCGATTCGAAACAACCTTCGAGAATTGTCACAATTTCAGAAAGAAGTGGAACGAATTTGTTTGCAGCTTGAAAGCCTAGGAGGCCCAAAACAACGTTTCGTCTGCAACATCATCAAATCCAAACTACCTCAAGCAATTCTTCAACAGCTCATCACAGAGGAACTGCATTCTAAAAGAAAATGGGATGATAAAGACCTTCGCAACGCTTTAGCAGATATCGTCAAAATACGACAATCGACAGAAGAATGTATGACAGCATTTAAAGATGAACCAAGAAGAGATCAACCCCGAGAGCAAAATAATTCTGAAGCATATAGAAGAGAAAGATTTGAAGCACGACCAATACGTCAAGAAATACGACAAGCACCACGTCCAATAGAACAAACAAGAGCATTTCCGGTATTTAATGCAAACAACAATGGGAGAAGCAATGAACCATTCTGTTCGCTGTGTTGCAATAATGGTCACAAACCAAGCCAATGTTCGACTTATTCAACACCTCAAGAACGCAAAACTCGTCTATTGGAGCAAGGCCGATGTTTGAAATGCCTGCAGCAAAGCCATACGACCGAACAATGTCAACGTTCATTCAAATGCCAGAAGTGTGGAAGCACTGACCATCATTTCATTTTGTGTGCACCACGGCAGGCAGCAATCGACTATCAGACACCTCAGGCCGTCTCATATGCACCACGTCTAGCTGTGCAGCCATCAAATGTTCAGTCGCCAACACCACAGGCAAGATCATTTCAACAGACATCTTCACGGACGTCTCGACGACAAACACCACCACGTCGAAATGAACGACCAACGCCAAAGAGAACTGGTGGAAATGCTACGACGCTCAACAATCAAAGAGCTACGACGACAATGAGTTCGACTAAAGAGACAACAGACACAGAAAGAGAAGCCAAAGAAGTCACACAAATAGTGAACGAAGAATTAAGGGAGCCTGAAGAAGTTAAAGAAGAGGAAAATGAAGCTCCCGACTCATCGACTTACCTCAATGCACGACAAAATGACAACAAAACTCATTTAATGACGATCATCATCAACGTCTCGTGCTCGGGAGGTCCAAGAGAAGGAATACCAGCAATGGTCTTTTTCGACTCAGGAAGCCAAACAAGTTACATCGCCAAAGAACTCGTCAATCGCCTTCAACCGCCAAAACTTTCAGAAGAAGTGCTTCGCATACACACCTTTGCGAATCAAAATCCGAAGACAGTTCACTCACCACTCGTCTCAATTCGTCTAAAACGTCAAGATGGCGACTGGGAATCGATGCAGCTTAACACCATCGACGAAATTTCAACACCAATGGAGACCTTTCAATTCATTGGAAAAGACGACCACGTCGAACCAGTTAAAGGAACTCCGTCAATATTAATTGGTATCCGAGAATTTTGGAAATTCGTCACTGGCTTTCAACAACTTGGCCCCAAGCTCTACAAGATTCAAACTGTTTTTGGAGATGTTTTAGGAGGTGAATCGTGCTTCAAGTCGACGAACTCGCCTAAAACCTTCATGGCACTTAACGACGACGACAAAGAAAGCATTGGACAAAATGACGTCGAGAACTTTTGGGCACTTGAGACTATTGGAATTAAAGAAAACCCAGCGGAGAAAGACGACGACACAGCCATGCGACTATTTGAACAATCAATACGTCAAAAGCCCAATGGCACCTACACTGTTCGTCTACCTTGGAGAGAACCTCGACCGACTATCAACTCAAATTGGAATATGGCCTATAGCCGCCTTCAAGCTAACATCAAACGCCTAACTCAATCGCCTGAACTTCTCGCCAAATACGACAAGAATCTGCGTGACCAAGAAGAGAAAGGAATAATCGAAGAAACCGGCCGCGACAAAGAAGAATTCTTTATGCCTCACCACGCCGTCATCAATCCAAAGAAGTTAAGAATCGTCTTAGATGCCAGCGCTCATCCAAACGGAGCAGCAAGTCTCAATCAAGCGTTGTACCGGGGACCTGTTCTACTACCAACACTCGTCGGAATGCTTATACGTTGGAGAACATGCCTTATTCCAATTCTATCGGATGTTCAAGCAGCCTTCCACACAATCGAAATGCTTCCTGAAGATCGACAATTTTGCAAAATTCTTTGGCTGCGCGACGTCAACAAGCCAATCACCACGGACAACTTAGTCGTCAAACGCTACACAAAAATGGTATTTGGTGTGATCTCATCACCTTTTGTATTAGCAGCAGTGTTATTACACCATTACGCCAAATTCGACAACGAATTATCGAAAGAAATGGCGAAGAATACGTACGTCGACAACATTCAATTTCAATGTTCAACGGAAGAAGAGGCCCTCGACAAGATGAGAACGGCTAAAGAAATATTCAAGAAGGCAGCGATGAATCTTCGAGAATTTCTCAGCCATCGACAAACGATCATGGAGCAAATACCAGAAGAAGACCGACTCGACAAAGCAAAGGCTCAAGTCTTGGGCATCAAATGGGACACAGACAACGATTCAATAACCCTCAAATTTCCGAAGGAAGACGTCAACATCGTCACTCGTCGAACAGTACTTAGTGCATTGGCCAGCATATACGACCCGTTGGGACTGATCAACCCATGTCTCCTTCAAGTCAAATTGTTCTTCCAACGACTATGGGACAACGAAAGAACATGGGACACACCAATAAATGCAGAAGAAACGACAGAATGGCAGAACATCAAGCAATCTTGGAACGACCAAACCATCACTCTTCAACGACAAGCAATTGTAAACAACCCAACCGAGTGGCATCTACATGTGTTCAGTGATGCATCCGAAAATGCCTATGCCGCCTGCGTCTATCTTAGATCGTCAAATGGTCCAAACGTCAAATCGACACTTATTTTCGCCAGAAATCGTCTGCGCCCAAAGAAAGCCAAGTCAAGCCTCACCATCCCAAGAATGGAACTACTTGGTGCACTGATAGCCGTCCGAGCGAAGATACACGTCGAAACCGAGCTACATCGACCAATCAGTGCCGTCCATTTCTGGTTGGACTCTCGTATCGTCTTGGCATGGATTCAATCCGTCGAACCGAAACCGCAATTTGAGCAACGACGACTAGCAGAAATTCGAAACGGAGCAAGAGGAACATTTCATTTCGTCAGAAAAGAACAGAATTCCGCCGACATCGCGACAAGAGGTTCAACGCCTATGGAACTTCAAAAATCGACTCTTTGGTGGAATGGACCTGAATGGATTGTGCGACCGTCAGACGAGTGGCCCGACGAACTATCTTTCACCATCGACAAACAAACGGACGTCAATAATCCTACCGACAAAATCGACACAAAAACCTTCGCGACTAAAGAACCAGAACCGCCGACAATAGACCCTGGACGATTTAGTTCAATCTTCACTCTTCTTCGAGTTGTAATTTGGGTCATCAGATTTATGGGACTAAAACGACCAAATGTGTTCAACATTGGAACGTCTAAAGTTTCACGCCAAGGACCTATGACTGTCGACGATTACAGAGCAGCAAGAATTTTCATTATACGACAAGAACAAAAACGTCTATTGGAAAACTATAATACACACCCCACGGCAATTAACAACGATGGACTTTTATGTTTGAAGACCCGCGTCAACTTTTGCAATGGACCTGAAACAATGGCGCTGCCTATCCTTCTTGATCGACACTCGCCATTAACTCGACTAATGGTAGAAGAAATACATGTGGATCTCAAACATGCTGGCGTCGATTGGACAATGACTGAATTCCTCAGCCGTTATTGGATGCCTCAATCTCGTCGAACCATCAGAGGAATTCTGCACAAATGTCTTCAATGCCGTCGACAACATGCACCACCGTTTGTCCGTCCATTAATGCCTCAACTGCCGACTATGCGTGTTCGACCAGCAAAGCCTTTTGAATTTGTTGGTATAGACTTCCTTGGTCCGACTACAACTAACTACGCCGGCCAAAACGTCAAAACCTGGATTATCATAATCTGTTGTATGGTAACCCGTGGCATTTACCTGGAACCAACTCGAGATATGTCATCAATCTCCGTCGTCAACGTCTTACGTCGATTCATCAGTCGCCGAGGCAAACCACGACGAATATTGAGCGACAACGCGCCGACCTTTATTCAAGTGCACAAAGCTTTGGATCTTCTCACTGGACCGCCTCCTGAAAAGCCGCCTTGGGACTACACGACGAAAAATGGCATACGCTGGGACTTCATACCCTCTTATGCACCGTGGATGGGAGCAACATATGAACGACTCATTGGACTCGTCAAAAGAGCAATTCAGCGCACCATCGGCAAAAGAATTCTCGACTACGACGATTTAGGAGCATTTTTGGCAGAAGTGGAGGCAAGCGTCAACAGTCGACCAATTACTTGGGTGTCCGACCAACCTGGAGCGCCGAAACCGTTAACGCCGAAAGATCTCATACAAAACAGTGGACCAAATGATCTGGGACCAACCGATTGCGACCTCGACTACGACGACGAAAAATTATCTGGACCGGAGAAACTAGCCGCAATTTGGAACGCCTATAGAGAAGCAGCAGACGTCTTTTGGTCTCGATGGAGCAACGAATACATTTTGGCAATTAGAGAACGAGCTGGATGGACACACAAAGGACCTCGTTCTCAAACAACATCACCACCGAAAATTGGTCAAGTTGTTCTCGTCGAGATGGATCTTCGACCAAGGAATCTATGGCCCCTAGCAAAAATCGTCGAACTTAATGGCTCGGCTAATGAAATCCGCAGCGTCAACCTATTAACTGGAGATGGAAAAATCATCACTCGACCAGTCAGCCGACTCTGTCCTTTGGAAACCGAAATCGACGAACCCTCGACAAACACCTCAGCAATTCAAGATGAAACGCCTAAAGAACCAACGAAACCAATCCATCAACATCAAATGACTCTTAGACCACGCAAATCAATCGTCAATACGACAACACTAGTGACCTTTCTTGTCTTACTCGTCAATATTGTAGGATTTGGAACGACAACACCATGGTATCGATGCGGACAATACGACTATTCATGTCTTCTAAGTTATTCGACAATTGCTTCAGCACTTTCCCTCTACGAATACAAGTGTGAGAATTGCCAACTCCAATGCTCGAATAAAGGTGTAATCGTCAAAGCACCACCCGAAGTTCAGAAGACTGCAGTTTGTTGTATGAAGAATTGTATCGACCACACCGACATGAAGGAGTACACTTATGAACTCACCGCCGAAATCATCATTAACGACTATGAATGCGAAGCATGGTTCTGGCAAAATTCCGTCAACAGTATAACAAAGAAGATTAATTGCCCAGCCGTAAATGAATGTGACCTAATCGACTGCTACTTTTGTCTCGAACAACTCGCCAATCCAACTTGCAACGTCAAATGGGCTACGTTCCTGCTCTTATTAGGAATCTTTGCCTTCAGCAGTTTATTTGGTTGCTTCATCACCGTCTTCAGTTCAATGCGCATCATCGTCAAGTTAATCGTCAATAGTTTAACAACAATAAGTTATCCTTTCTTTTGGATGTTCAACAAAATTTGCAAGAAAGACAAAGAAGCCTGGAAACGACAAATAAAT